AGCTGTGGTTTCTCGCTATGGCTAGCAACTCTAGAAACAAATCGGGGACATCCTGAGGGCAGGCGAGAGAAAGAGCTAAGAAAGCAAAGTGATGTCTCAGCTTGGTCAGGAGATTTACTTATGTCTGTATTTAATGCGCTAAATCTGTATTTGCGAGGAGGGACAAGGCATTGCTCCAGAATCCATGGTTTGAAATCGAAACCTCCTGATCCGCCCCTCCTGATCTGTTCCATTCAATTTCCCATGGAGCAGATTGCAAACCCCTCTATTGTCACCCTTCCACAGATAAACACTTACTAAATGCAAGGAAATGGCAGAATAATAATTTCCCCCGTAATGTCTTGCAGTTAGGGCGTTTGCAGAGCTCAGGCAAAGCTACAGAGCTGTAATTTACGGGTGACTTGCCATCAGATTGTTCTACTTCTGTTTTAGAGAAAGTTATGCCTTGCGAACTCACTAGTTACACACATTTAGAGAGCTGCCTAATCTTTAATTGGCCTTACGCTTAGACATGACACACTACACTCAAGTATTTGTTTCGAAGGATTAGGTAAACTATATTTCAAATCGCAGAACGCCACTTGCCATGCCTAAAGTAAAACAAACTCGCACACATTAATCCCCCCCAACACAGCAGAAAAATAATGTGCACAGATAAGACCTCTCTCCTGATTCCCAGCGATTATCCTCCATGACATTTTCCCTCGGAAAACAATTAGGACCTGGGAATATTTTGGTAGAGTTCGGCAGTCTGGGGTTGTTTGAATTTCAAATTTCAAAGCGGATTAGGAAATCTAAATGCGTTTCTGGATTTGAACGGCTTCAAGTCTCCTGTTTAGGACAGGGCAGGGCCAGAAATAAGGAGAGGTTATCTTTTACAGCTAACTTTTTTTTGTTGTTAGAGTTCCTTGCAGTATGGGCGGGTTTATATGCTTGTGGATTTGGGGATTGTTTAATTTTTTTTAAATTTTCCGGAGTTCTTGAATATCTGTACACTGCTTTATATTGAATATGCACCAGAAGCCACATTTAAAAATACGAAAATATGTAATAGCAAATCTTTTCTTTCTAGGCAGGAAAAATTGCAATGTGCGATGATGTCCAGGTTCCTAAAATATTAGATGAACACGGGTGTGTGTGCGTGTTTGTATATTCACCAGATAACTCAGATTAAGTATTGTTGTTGAATATTGGGTGATGGTAAACAGTTTGTGTCTAGTATCATTCCCGTTTACAAGTAAAGGATTTTTCTTTGAAAAAGACCTGTATATAAGTGAAGCCCAAACTTTCAAAGGGTTTTTATGCCTTTGCATCAAACTATAAAATTTTATGGCATATTAAGTAATATATGCCTATCACATATAACTTTCTGTTATTCCTATTGACAATAATGTGACAGCTAGTGTGCTACAAAATCTCCAGCTGTTTTTTACGGAAATGATTTTCAAATCTACATTTGGATATTCACTTTTAAAGCCTTTCCCCTTTTTTAATATAAAGTATATGCATATGTGTTCATTTTGTGGTCATAGGAAGGATAGATAGACACAAAGGCTTTGAACTCCATTTATCTTACACAGGGGGTTAACTCCAAACATTAAATATTTGTAAAACTGAGATATTTCTGCTGAGCCAACCTTATATACTACCATTTCTTCAATGTTAAAGGCAAATAAATTAAAAATAGGAACCAGTCAGCAATGTGCAGATCTAGCAGAGGTACACAACAACCTTACTCTCCTGCACTTTTGTGCCTTTCTCTCATTTTTACCCTCAGTAGCAGATAGAGCCTAAACCCTAATATTCAAATGGGATAGAACTAGAGAAATAAAACAAAGCCCATCTCCTAGCTTGCATCAAACCACCTCGTTCTTTTGTAAACCTGACTTTATGACACATGAACAAAAACAATGCGATCTGCTGAATCCCTGCTACTCCAAACCTGAGCAGAGAAAGAGATACATACAGCTGGTTTGTACATATATAGACATGCTTTTTTTTTTTTTTTTTGGAGGTAATTCTCAGATTTCTTCCCTAGCCCCTGATTAGCTGATCTACAACCCCCCCGAGATCACTCGCTTAAGTAACAGCTCTGAGGGTAAGGATCAGGCCTTAATGCTACACAGAGAAAGCCAGAGCTCCTTTCACCCTTTCATTCAAGTCCTGGAAATTCAAAGCCTAAAGTTAAATCCGGCCATAAAGTTTATTGCTGAGTAATCACACTCTAGTGAGAACAGTCCACTTAAATAAAAAGAATGTTGAAGTAAACACGCAGCTGGGGCCTACCCCACAATGGCAGCCAGCAATATAAGGCAGAGAGGCAGAGAGCAGAGCTAGGGGATATTTACAATCTTCAATAAACCAAGCCAGTATTTCATAATTTGCAGCACTCTAATGACCTGTAGTCTCTTGTATTAATGCTACAAGTTACAGTCAATTGGCTTGCTTAAAAAAAAAAAAAAAAGTCACAGGAAGGTATATATGTATTCACATGTACACACCCTTTGTATACTTAAATCCACGCATACTAGACACACATATGCATGTGCACAGCTTTATACAGGCATATACATTGATTTGTACATGCATGTACACATGCACATAATTTAAATATATTTATATTTGTGCAATTTCATACAGGATCTGGAACAAGTTACAGCACCGTTATAGATGTGCATCCCCAAAACACACTACAGATTCACAGATGGACATATATATACATAGCTAAAGCTTTTTGCACAACTCAGTGCAGAAAATAGGAATCTTAAGCACGCCGGTACAATCTGTGCCATTTTAATACAAGCTCTGATGTGCAACATATTTCACCAATCCAAAGATTATTACCATATCAGCACGCCTCCAACTTTGTCATGCCTACATAAGACACTGCCCAGATAATATCAAGCCCTATCTATTTTGTTTCCCTCTTTTTTAATTGCCTGCAGTAACTACTCTTTGCTAAACAAAACCTCTCCAAACTTGGAGAGTCTATTGGAGCAAAGGAAGTAATTATCTTCTGCGGTAGTCAAAGTGATTAAAGCTAGGCCCCAAAATCCATCTCTGCCAAAGTCGCTTATTGTGGTTTACTTTGATTTGATCGTTAAAATAGAGAGCTAGCTGCTGCAAGTGAAGGGATGGGGGGGATTAGCAGCGCAACCTGGATCATTAGTGGTTGATCGTGCCTCTCGGGCTCGGTGGGACCGTCCTGAAAAGCTCCAGGCGGAGAGGAAGGGGAAGAGAAAGAGAAAGAGAAAAAGAGAAAGAGAAAGAGAAAGAGAAAGAGAAAGAGAAAGAGAAAGAGAAAGAGAAAGAGAAAGAGAAAGAGAAAGAGAAAGAGAAAGAGAAAGAGAAAGAGAAAGAGAAAGAGAAAGAGAAAGAGAAAGAAAGAGAGAGGCAACGAGAGGCAACGAGAGCGAGCGGCAGCCTCGCCTTCCCCACTGTACAAATAAACTTTAAGGAACTTGTGCACAAAACTTACCTTTGACTTGCAGGGAGCCATTTTTCATACAGTATTGAGAACTTGTAGTTTGGATACTTCTGTCCCTAAACCTGACAATTTGAATGGCCAGGAGGCACACGTAGCCTGCAAAAGAGTCAAATGAAGTCCAGCGTCAGTGAGATTATATGTTATGTGGTATATAATGTTGGATGTCAACTCCCCAAAACCATAAAACTTACTTTAATGGCACCACGTGACTTTTTATAGCCAGTGAGCCTATCTGTCTGTGCTATGGATGATTTTACGATCTAATTCATAGACAAAACCCTATTCATTTGGCACCCAAATGTCATATAGCCGGAACTGGGGCTTATAAAGTTTACTGTTTTATAACTTTTAAGGGAAGGCATCAATGTAACCAGTCAGTAAATGCGCAAATCTTTAGTTGCTCTTAGAAGCTCAGAAGAGTTAACCATTCAAGCTCTGACGGGGTAAGTAACATTACGTTTATAGAAAACTAATTGTAGCGAAGAAAACAAAAAAATCTTTAAAGGGTGAAAAGTGGGAATATGGCTAGCGAGGGTTACTAATAGACGCAGAGGGCTCGGACGTGGCTGTCCTGCAAATATACTTAATGAAACCACAGGAGAAATTCTAGAGCGATGCAAACACATCTCGGAGTTAGGAGCCTGTTTTAACAAAGCACATGGTTTGGTTTGGTGTTGGTTTTGGTTTGGTGTTTTTTTTTTTTTTCCCCAACCATCAGCAAACAACTAACAGTCGATTCACCCACAAAAGGGTGTTGATTGTGGTCCTGCGATGCAGCTTTCCACCTAGCGAGAAACCACTAAGGAGGAACTTATGGTCAAACTTTCAATTAAAAATACTGGTAGCGGACCATCTCAGCATCTACCATTTGCAACGTGCAGCAGGAGTCAGATAAATTATTATTACAAACTCTGCACGGCTTAGCATTTTTTCCAGAGGCAAATCAGGAAGCACAACTTCTTGCTTTGCACAAACCAGATCACGAAAACTTTACAATAGAAAGTTTATTTTTTTTGTTGATTTCCAGTCATTTTTTTTAAAAACAAATACAAAAAAAAAAAAAAAGCTGATCACAGTTTGCTCAAACAGCCAGACTTTGACTATATTTGTAACTTTGTTCACAAAAAACATACATCACAGAAGCTGCGCTTAATAAGAGCCACTTCTAAGAGTTCGTGCAAAGAGTCATATACAAAGGCACAGCAAGGACATACTGCTTGGAATCACAGTTTTCGTCACAGATTCACTATTCACTACACGTAGGACAAGTTCAGTTGATTTCATCATTTCACCTCTACAACAGCATTAATTACACATGAATTATATAAGTAGTTTGAATAAAAATATTTTTAACAGCTTGGAGCTATACAGACATTAACACTTGACCACACATGCACAGTTAAGCAGGTTGAGTGCAACACATAACATTTGTACTAAACCGGGGGAGGGTGGCTTCTTTCTCTCTCCTTTTTTTTTTTTTTTTTTTACCTTCTTTTTTGTGGTTTTTTGTTTGTTTGTTTAGTTTTGTTTTAACAGTTACTTCAAGTAACACAGCTCGCTTCATATAAATAAGTTAAAACATCTATTATTTTTTCAAGACAAAGCCATTCAAGACAAAGAAATGTACGATAAAAGCAGATCTACTTATACACGCGAGAGAATGGTAATAAACAGGCTCATGATTAAAAGATGAATAAGGGCGACAAGAACAGGATTTCTTCACAGAAGTAACACAGGGAAGTTTTAGAAAGTCAACTTAGTACTGACATGAGACGCAGGGTCAGCTAATACTGCTCAGTACTTTTAATTGATCAAACGCTTAGGGACGGAATGCCCCTCCTGCAGCTGCCATGCTCATACTTTTCAGCTTATTATCCTTTTTCCATTTCATTCTCCTGTTTTGGAACCAGATCTTTATTTGTCTCTCTGAGAGGCAAAGAGCATGTGCTATTTCAATCCTTCTTCTGCGGGTCAGGTATCTATTGAAGTGAAATTCCTTTTCCAGCTCCAGGGTCTGATAGCGGGTGTAAGCAGTCCGAGCCCTTTTCCCTTCTGGTCCCCCTATGTTGTCTGGAAGAGAAAAGTACATGATTTAGATTCTCAGCAGCCACTCGGAGCTTTCCTGTCTTGCTGCAGCTACCAGCGACCAGGACCGTTATTCTCAATGCTGCCTGGTTTTGTTTCTGGTTTGGATAAACGCTCAACAAGTTTCCCCTTCCAGTCCCTTTTAGGAAAGGCTTGGGGGAGGGGGATTTGGCGACCTCGGTAAGTTTTCGCTTGGATTTGGGGTTCGATTTTCTTTTTAACTGATTTTTTTTTTTTAAATATTTTAAGACTAATCCACCCCCTCCCCACCTCCCCCAGATAAGCTGTTTGGGAGGATGCCTCTGCTTCTAGCTGGGTTTTCAGGGCTAGAAGAGCAAAGCTGAGGCACGCAGCCCGTTCCCACGGCAGAGCTGGGGAAGGCTCTGGGAGACAGCGAGCTCCCGGCTGCTCTCCCAGCACCGAGGGCAGGGCAGGTACCCGGGGCTGAAAGTTGCCCCGCTTCCTCGCACCCCTTAAACCCCCTCCCCGGAGTTTGGGGCGACTCGCCCCCCCTCCCCCACGGCTTTCAAGTAGTGCAGACTGCCCTCTTCGCCCTCTCCTATTCTCTTTTTAATATGGCTTTGCAAAATAAATGGGGTCAGCCGCGCCGTTCCCACTGGAGGATCCCCCTTCCAGAGGAGAGCCGGGAGCAGACTAAGCTCCCGATCCCCCTTCGGGAAGGCGCTTTCTGCTCTCCCGCTGCACGCCGAGGCCCGC